CGATTTTACCCTATTTTCAAAAATAAAAAGATTACTCTTTCCATATATAACTTATACCAAAAAAAACTATACCAAAAAAGCTATACCAATACGATTAGCAAAGTTTGGCAGCCCTAAATTGGATGAGCAAGAGAAAAAATTGTCAAAAGTGTTACCAACTGAAAAAATGAAAAAAAACTCTTTTTTCAGATATTCAAATTATCTTTAATGAAATAATTATATTATATATTAATCTGAATATTTATTTGTTTTCGATTGCCCTTTCGGTTCTTGCGCCGTTTTGGGTTTTTCGGCCGATTGGATGGCGTATGATTATTTTTCCTGCGGCGCCTCAGCCGCTCAATTTTGTGGCATAAATCACTAGTTCATAGTTGATCCTGAAACGGGGCTCCCCGTTTCTTCCCACGTCTCCTGCTTCTTTTTCTTTTTTGCGGTGCGGCGTTTGGGGCGGCCTGGCGCCGCAAATCATGTTCGGCTTGGCGGGCATCCCGCCGCAAAGTCGTTCTTAAAACTAGGCTCCTAGTGCTCACACTCAGACTAAGGCTGCAGAAAGATTAAACAACAAGTAAACTCATTTTTATTTTTTCTAGGTTTTTCGATATATAGTGTCACAAAGCCACGGCTTCTTGTAGAAAAAGTAGGAGTAATAAATGTTCAAGTTTTTAATGAATGCCAGAAACTGCTGCCCAATAAAGAAATTAAAATATGATTATAATATAAGCAATATGATATACAATTTCTATGCTCAACCTAGGCATTAGCTTAGCCGTTTTCGAGCGTGAGCTGCAAGTGAGTAGCAATGGAAAAGCTAGCATTTTTGATGTTGTACATTTCATTGTCCCTATATTCAAAACGAAAAAGGTTTCAATCAGACCTATTAGCGTAAGCCATTCCTTCCTCTTCTATGAATTTTCCGAAAAAGAGATTATCATCTAGAAAGAATTCAAACGTGTTTGGGCATGGCTTAAAGTGCTTTCAAAAAATGTTGGACAAGTTTCTGCAATCCAATTTCATGTTACGATTAATTATGTGCTCTAATTTTGCTTTTATATACTTACACATGCTGGGTAGTGCGAAAAGTTATATTTATATTTATATATTGCTAGATGTAAGCAATAAGCAGAACCAAGTGAAAGTATCACAGCAATAACAATATCACCGACACATAGAAAATGTAAATCATCAATAAATTCAAGTGCATTTAAACATTTTTAATTGCAATAGTAGTAAATTCCACCAGAGAGAAATTCTACTCGCACTTTTTCACTACAATATTAAGACTTCTTTTTATTAAAAACCGTTAGCTGATTTTTTTTTTAGATTTGCAAAATACCATAGTTGAGCATAGACCCATAGACCTGAGTAAAACCTTTACCTTGAAATGAAGCAGAACAAAATTATTCATATGTTGGTTATTTTTCTTTCAAAACTTCAGGGTTCTCTGTTAAAACTAAAATTAAATTTATCTTTACAAACTATTGGAGCTTAATGAGTTGTAAACAAATTTTTACACTTTTTAGTGTTAAATTGTGTTTATTTAGGATATTTAGTATTACGAGAGCACATTATTTATTTATATAAATCATTACTATTATTCAAATAATTAACGATTTCCCTTACGTCGTGCAGTTTCTGTTTCTTCAGCTCTTAACATATGTTTTCACGTACATTCCTTTTCTCGCTGTGCGTCTTTCACACACGCGATTGTCGTATTTATAAAAATATATACTTTATCATATATCATATATATGTTTGTATTTATATATATGTGTACTACTTACTTAATTTTTTTTTTTTTTTTATGTAAATATGTTTTAATATAGTTGCTGTTGCCGGGCTTAAATTTTTCAAAAATTACACGGAAAACATTTAATATGGGATAGAAAACTTTATATATAATTTTAATTTTCAAATACTGCTGCCAAAAAACAAACACATACAACATGAAGCTTAACAAACGTTTACAATAATTAATTTAAGTTGTCCGCAAAAATCAAGCGAAATGACAGATAATTCGGTTCTATTTTTAAATTTATTTAAAATATTGGGAATATAAATGCAAGAATGTTGGTTGGCGTCAATAGGGAACAACAGAACTTAAAGTTAACTGAATTATTGATTACTTATTACAAACACAATGACACCAGTCGAAGTTCGCTTACAGATTAATATTTTAGGAAAATATATTTTTTAATCATTGCACAATTTGTTTGTTCTAAATTGAAATAGTTTGGTGGTAGTTACTGCTGCACAAAACAAAAAAGAACGATTTCAACTATATGGAGAATTTCATGAGTGAGATGAACTGCTGAAATGCATCGTGGGCAGGACAATACCAGTTTTTTTGCCCGTTCCTGTCTGTCACGTGACGTTTATTATTATTGATCGCTGAATTGAACTTTGATTAGTTTGAATTAGTTTTTGTTGTCATTGTTCCGGAAGGCAAATTACTTATCATTCACTCTTATCAGTTGCTGCTGTCGCTGTTTCGCTTTACAATCAATTTCATTATATTTCATATTGATATATTTCATATTGATGCTGTTTCGTTTTACAATCAATTTCATTATATTTCATATTGATAAACGGCTTTATTTCCTCTATTTTAGCTCTTATAACTTAGTCGAAGATTTCCGTTGGTTTGGGAGATATTAAATATCCTAAAATGAAGAGACAAACAGAAGAATTAAAGAATTTCTTTAATAAAGTAGAAGACTAAGAAATATGCTTAAAAGTGAATCTTTGCTGCATACTATCTCAATTGTATCTACGAAAGTAGCTTATTTATCACTTGTGGTATACATAGTGATCTGCCAGGATCATTTTTACCCTGAATTTGTACATAGCGCTAGCAAGTGTTGATATAAAGTATGGCATACGTTGAAATATATGGTTTTTTGCCGGTTATGTGGCATTGATTGTATCTTATAATTAACAAGTTGAATAAATATATTTTAAACATTAAAATTGGTCGAAAAATGGGCAAAGATACATTTCGGTTTTTTATAAGAAATTTCAAAAATTATATATAAAAGTACATTTTATTAGAATTTGAACACTGGCTTATCATGTGTTCCGCGACACAAAGAACGTTATAAATTCACAATGTTTGCATCTTTATTACACTTTGTGAGAAATCTTTGAAATTCTATTCATATCGTTTGTACCTGTTAAGTTTGCTTTCGATGGGCATATCAAATTGTCAATCAATTCGGAACTCTTTTCGATTACGCTACAAAATCGACAACTATCATAGATGATAAGATTTTAATAGAAGTTTCTTGGAATTTCAATTGTTTGCCACGGTTACCTCCACATTTCGCTGATGAGCTGTCTGATTTTTCGAATATTTTCGAAAATTTTTATCTTTCGTTTTCAAATTTCAACGGCGAAAAAAACTAGTTAGCTTATGGGCATGGCGAGGATACTTTAAATTGGAACCTCATACTGAGTGAAAGCAAAGCTATTTTATGGGTTTAAAGATAAATAAGTAGCTTACTTGTTGTTGGCCATTTGGGTTTTCTAATGCACTAATCTGTTCATCTTTGGAACGTACAACACTCCGCCAGTGTTCATCCTGTTGTTCAGCCCGCTGCAACATATCTGATAACGTGTTATCCTAAAATAAAAATAGGACAAAAATTAGTAGGCCTGAGCTGTGATACTATACACATACATTTTTTGTGGCAAGTTGAAGCAACTCATCAACACGCGTATGCAGTAGTTTATTCTCCTTCAGTAGAGCATCGTGATCACTATTGCCTCCCATGGCTGTGCTAATTCTTGACGGGCTATTGCTTCGGCTTCCATTGCCATTTTGTGAATTTTGGACTGCAGAAGGGGAAGAGGGGTGATGATTACTGCTACTGGATTGTGTCGATTTGTGGCTACTACTAACTTGCGCTTGTTGTCGTTGCCACTGTTGGCTAACATGCGCAGTCATCACTTGTTCGATCCACTGTTCAAGAGTGTCTGAGAGAGCGGTTTGTGCGCAAGATTTAACCGCTTCTGGATATAAACGCTGGAGTAATTGTCGCAGATGTTTCTCTGCACTAGCGTCATCTTTCACGTTGACCTCCAATGGTGTGCAGGTGGCAGTGGCTGCTAACGATTTTTCCTGTTGCTACAGTTTTGAAAAGAATGAAAAATATACAAAATGTAAACAAGAAACAAAACAACAAAACGAAAGGAATTGCTTAGCATAGAGGAAACCCCAGCGGAAAGGACATGCACTTACAACTAAATTTGCATTTGGTTGGTGCTTATGTGTTTCAATTTGCTTAATAGCTTTAATTTCAGCATTTTGCAAAGCCTCAACCAACTTCCAGTTTTTCATGCGCAATTCCTAAAGTAAAGAACGAAAAACACATGTGATCGATTAGTTAGATAATGAGCAAAACTGAATACACACAAACATTTTCAATTGACGCATGCTATCAAAACTGGAAGATTTTGTCCGAACTTATAGTTAATTCAGTAACTATTACATTGCACATATACACGCATATAAACTCATATTTTCAATTTATACAAACAAACTTACATTGTTTTTGTCTTTTTGTTCTTGCAATTGTTGCAACAACTCCTTTTCGCGTTTGAGGAATTGTTCCCTTTGCTGTTCGATTTGTTGCAATTGCTGTGTTTTGTCGGCGATTTCTTCTTTGAGCGCATTTTCAAGCGTTTCTAGTTCTTTCTCAAGGCTGATCACACGCTGCTTCATTTCATTCTCCCTTCCTGTAGACTCTGATAATTGCTTTTGCTTATCATTACACTGCTGTTTAAGCAATTGATGGGCAGCCTGCAGATTGTTTTGCTCTTTAACTTGTTCTTTTGTTTGACTGGTGACATTCACTAACTGCTGCGTCAATTCAATGTTTTTCCCTTGTAATGCTTCAATTTCCTGTTGTTTTTCGCTAATTGCGCTCGTATGTGCCAATGTTAATTCGTTCGTTTTAGTCTCTATATCTAGACGAATTTGAGCGTTTTCTGCTTTAGATGATTCTAAAGCGTTTTGCATGTTACATAACTCTAACTTGGCTTCATTGAATTCACTTTCCGTTTGTTTAGCTTTTTCAATTTCAAAGATGCGATTATTTGAGACTTGTTCGAGATCATCACGTTGCTGTTCCAAAGCACGCAACTGTTGAGCTTGCGATTGTATAATATCATTTTTCTGTTGCGATTCTTCTACAGCCTGCCGTGAAGCATTGACAATGCAGGTGAGCTCAGCAATGCATTTATCCTTGTGACTTAATTCATTTTGCATAATTTGCATTTGAGCTAAAAGGTCCTGCGAACCCGCTTGTTTTTCATGTATAAGTTTAGCTTGAAATTGTTGACGTTCTAAAGTTAAATTGTCATTCAAAGTTTTGATTTTTTGTTCCAATATGGTTATATCCTGATCCTTGGCTTGAATTTTTTCTATGTACGATTTTACGGTGACGTTCATATTGACACGTTCCGTATTGATTTCTTGACGTAATTCACGTAACTTTGCTTGAATGCCTATAGAAGCCTCTTGTTCCTCAGCTAGGGCTTTTTCGATCTCTTTCAATTGACGTTTGAGCTTCTGACAAACATCATCAGACCATTCCGAATGACCGGAGGGCATATCCTGTTGTCGATTTAACAGGTAGTCAATAAGAATTTGAATTTCGGAGCGATTTAATTCGGCTCGACGGAATAAATTCATTAGCAATGACACGCTGACCGTATCCATGTCAGCAAATATATCGAGCGTGTTGGAGTCTTTAACTTCTTTCTGTTTTCTATGTTGTGGCTTACTCTTTTGTTGACTAACTTTGGGCGATCCCTGGCGTCCTTTTTCGTCAAGCTGCTTTAGTTCCTTTGCTACGGCTGCCGTCAATGCAGTTTCAATTGAAGTTTGAATACTTTCTACACCAACCAATGCCTTTTCGTTCAATTTTTCTCGAGTTTCAGCTTTTTTACCATTTCTATCTTTCTTATTTGCTTGGATTAATTGTAATTTATCTTCCTTCTTTTCAGATTTTTTAAATTCAGAAAACTCTTTCAGACCTTTGACTTCGGAGTTATTAGCTGATAGATTTTCTGCAATAATTTTTTCTTCTTTCGCTGTCGTTGTTAATGCATTGGGATTATCATTTTTATTAGGTGCCAAAGAATTATTTTTATTCACTCCTGAAACTTTTTTTTCTTTCTTCCCTCTAGTTTGTTTGCTGGCAACAGCTTCTTTGTCTACATTAGTGGATTGCTTTAACGTAATTGCAACAGCATCTTCCTGGCTGTGATGTGCCGGTGCCTTCTCCAATTCGGGCGAAGACTTTGAAAAGCCATGAGGCACATCATCTTCAACTGAAGGCTGTTCCGAGTGACCGTCTGAATCTTCGAATTCGGCGTTGGTAGCGCGCTGTCGCAGTTTTTTTTCGCGTTTCAATTCTTTTTTCATATTATGTTTTTTAGGTTTTCTAAACGCGGTCCTTTCTTTGCCGTATATTTTCTCTGTTAAAGCCTTCTTCTCGGCAACAATTTCTTCAAATGTTTTGCGACGGAAAAATTTATTAATGAATAATAAGGAAAACAAAGAAGCCAAGAACACACAAGATATCACAATCAATATATGCAAATCCATCATTGCATAGTTTATTTACTGCTATTATTAAAAAAGAAACCAAAATCGACAAAACAACTGTGAGACTGCAATGAAATTAAAGTAAAAAAAATTGAATTAAATACCAATAGAATTGAGCTTATATTAAAAATAAAGATTCGATTTCAAATCCCCAATATTATATAAACGATTTCATTATTTTTTAAATAAAGATAATGAATTATTAAAATCTTAAAAAATAGCACACGCTGTTTCGAAACAACCAAGCCAAGAAGCTAAGAAAATAAATTAAGCTTTTCTTATCGCAACAATGCAAAGGCAGATAAGTAAATTAAATTTCTTTACTTGATACGATAGGAGAATGAACAGTAAATCGTTCCAGCAGGGAAGAAAAAAGTGCTCGACCCTAAATAGAATGCTTTTGTGCCGTGATGACGTGTAATACACTTAATTAATACGTGGACATGATATGCAAAAGGCAACCGCTATCGCTTTAATATAATTCCAAATTCCAAAAAGTTCACGCACATAGATACACATAAAGTAGCGTAATGATTACCAAACCGCTTCTTAGTGAATGTATATGCGACAGCTGTGGCTGCTATTCGCTGGCCGACCCAATCGCTTAATGTTATCCAGGTTAACGATCCCACATAGACTGACGCATACAACAAGTTACAAGTGAGAAATGATCAAAATGCAAAATTGTTTAATGTATGCAAATTTCTCTTTTAAAAACAACATTCAACTTTATTGCTCCCACTAACTTTCTGTTGAAAACGAAAAGCCCAGAAACATATAATGAGGAGAAAACATAAAAACCAGTAAGACTAGTATCTAAAAGCAGCAAAATACATTAAATTTCTTAGTTTTTTAAAATTTCTCAAATAAATTGTTGCGGTTTAATTATAAATGGCTAACACCATGTCAAATTATCCGTTTTAAAAGACAACCAGTTAAGAGAGGCCCGGCTTAAGAAAAAACTAACAACGACCTTGAGCCGAATTAACAAGCATGGATCGGTTGGCAATATTTCTACTTTTTCTGGCGAACTGGGTAAAGGTCCAGTCCATCGTAATAATGCCTACCATGTCTCTGAGTTTAGACTTAAAAAGAGCTTTAGTATTTCCCGTAACTGAAACCTTAATGAATATTTACAATTTTTTTGGAGTTTGGAATTTATTAGTGCCGATCATGAAAATGATTTCTTCTAGAATGTGTTTTGCTTACATATATACCCTTCTATTGATATGAGCAATGCAAAATCTCTTAAGAGTCTCTTATAAAAACTTTATAAATATTCTGTTTTTATCTGTGCCACTATTTATTCCAATTATTTAAAAATTGAGAAATTCTCTCAGATACTTTCTACACAATTCGAATTATAATTTAAACTGGAGCACTAACTTCTTCTTGCAGCTATTTATTTAAAACTTTTGCTTAATGCTTGTAAACTAATTAAATAGGAAGCCGAGTGAGAGTAGGGTAGAGAGGAAGAGAGATAGGGATAAGAGAAAGAGAGAGAGAGAGAGAGAGAGAGAGAGATTAACGGAGGTAAGAAATTCTAGATGAAAACCATTGAACTTATTAAACTAAATGGTTGTTGGTAACATTTATTTTACGCAACGTTCTTTACATTAAATGGGAAATATTTGAACCTGAGTACGCTTAGCTTAATACACCGTCATCGGGAAAGATGTGAAATACATGAAAAGCTTCTTTTAACCAATTCGACCGCAAATTGCGGAATATTCGTGTCTTGTGACGGGTGATTACTCATACAAACAAATAGTTTCTGTCTAGGCATTTTAGGAAGTAACCGCATCTTCATAATCGTCAAAAAATACAACTCAACAACAATAACTATTGAGATAAAATATGCCAATGTATCCTATATACATTAAAGCTCAATGTAATGGTCCTTCCATCGACTAGATTAAAAGCTTCTGAGATTCACTGACAGCTTCTAAGATTCTTTGCAATACTCATATATTGATTTTAAGTGATTTCATTCTACTTACAATGATTGAAAGCAAGACAATTAAGTCATCTAAGCACATGTTTTTAAATAGCTATCTTATACTTGCATCTCCACAACTGTTGCCAAATTTCGAATATGCTTGGAGTTTTGAGTTGAAAAAAGTTTCTTGTTTAAACAATTTTTTTCTTTTCACAACAAAAAACTATTTATGAATGCATAAAACATTACAAAAATAAATGTATGTATATATGTTGGCTTGCGTGAACATATGCTTGTTTCTATTAAAATAAAAAGGGGAATGCTAAGCCATTGTCTGCAAATAGCGAGCTGCCCAGTTAGATGCATAGTTCAGCGAAAAACAAATTATCCGTCTGCCACGTTGATTGCTGTCTTTTATATAGTCGAAGAAAATATTTGATTGCGAAAGATGCATAGGCATGCACGTACTTATACCTTATGTGCATGAGCATACACATTTACTTTATCTCACAATTCAAAAATGCGCGATGAAACATGAAGAAAGCGGAATTGGGACAACAAACAAAAGTTATGCATATAAGAATTTACAAATATATGTTTATTTTGTTAACACATCTGCGAATATATATAATAAAAAAAACAAGCGAACAGTGCCAGAGTGGCAAAATAACTGATCAATTAATAAAAGCGTTCATAAACAGAAAAAGCCTCTACAAAATTTGGTCGTTTTCTCGACGATCCACATATATGTTCTCTTCACAAAGAAAAAACTTGACTATTAGAAACTCTTATAGGCTATTCACGAACACCCAAACCTACACTAACGTAAAGCGTAACAAAGCTAGTGAGAAGTGTGTAATGGTACAACGTACAACGTTCCTATCATTCTTGATGTCATCATTAAACAACAAAAAAATAAGATATTCGAAATTTCTTAAATTGCGTAAAATATAAAATTGGCTCCATTTTCCAAATAAATTCAGATGTCGTTACTGAAATGCCAACCTTTCTAATGAGACAAATAATTGAATTGAAGCCACTTACAGAAACAAAAACATTCACTGCTACCCGAGAGAGAAAGAGAGTCGCAAACTTTCAAACATAAAAATTATCCTTGACCTTTAACTGCATGCTCTTTTGTAAATGCCTGCAAATATGTTTAAAAAAATATTTCGACGAAAAACTAAACTTACAATAATTATATTTATATAAAAATATATAATTACATATTTATATAAATATATACAAATTATATTAATATAAAACCTGATTCTTAGTGTGTTAAGCGATACGCACAAGTACCTATAACTGAACGCGTAGTAGTATTGGTAGTAGTAGTAAAGGGCGACGAACGCATGTAACTATTGAATAAGAATAACAATACCAGTCTGCTATTTTAATTTTTCACAATCCACATACTTCCCAGTAATCGAATGATTAAAATATATAAAATTACTCATCATCTTGCTTGTTTGGTTAACACAGCTTAATTTTACGTATGTAGTAACACTGCATAAATACACTTGTGTTCATAAATTTGACCAATTCTTTGTTCATAATCACAAGTTAACAGTCTTTGTTCAAATTTTTATTTGTTAGTTTTTATTTATTTCCTTGCTAACTTTTCCACACTAATAGCGGCTTAGGCCGTGTTGGCTGCAGCGCCGTTCACCGCCATTGTTGTAGTAAACTGTTGGCAAAAATTTGTTCGCATCTAACAATTATTTCCTCCGGCTTACTTGTGTTTATAAACCATATCAACAAAATTTCCATTCTACTTACATTTACACAGCTTAAAATTTTATATATCCAAAGTATATTTTAACACGGAATTTTTCAAATGAAAAAAACTTTAAACGAACACGGATAAGAAATTTTCGCAGCAGCACAAAAAAAATTTCACTCACGCAATTGATATTAATATGAATTGAAGTTAATCTGTGTTGTATTTAGTAGTATATAGAAATCGTTATTCAGAGTTGCATTATACAAAAAATAATTTCATACATTCTATGAAAAAGATGTACATTAAAAAGGAATTCACATAAAAAAGAATTGATAGAATCATAAATATCCATTTCATTACTCTTAATAAGGGCTGGATACTATTTAACATGAATGAAATTATTAACTTATTTATTTCTGTATGCTCATGCAAATCTACGCACTTCAATCCGTAATATTATAAGTAATAGGCTTCTTGTATTTACAAATACTCCCAGTAAACAGTGTTCATTGACCTATTGTTGATCTGATCGGTTTATGTGCAAGCGGACCTCATCTGAAATTCTAAGATCAATTAATACACGGGGATATATCTAATAAGTATATCAATCATTCATCTTTATCACTGATCAGTAAACAAACTTGTTTGCTTACTTATTATTATTTTTTACAAATTTCTTTTTTATGTTAGGTGGTTTTCTTTATTTTTGATTCTAAAATTATATATTTTTGTTTATATTTTCCTGTAAAACAATATGGCAGTGCGGCTGCTTATTGTATTGACCATTTTTTATTTATTTCATTATGTCAGTCACCTTAAACTCCCTTCTTCAATTTATTCGTTACCATAAGAATTTATAATAAAAGCATTTATTATTTCACAACATGGCAACCTTCAGTACTAAGGTTATAATTTTTCATTTAACTGCGTTAAAAATTACACTTTTAATGAAACATGATCGAAATTAAAGCGAAATTAGTGCGAGCGGACGCAGCTATATATGCTACTGGCGAACGTGTAGAATGTCTAATAGAATTCATCCACAAAGTTGGTGAAAATATAGAAAATGTTAATAACAATGAAAATTTAGCTTGGGCGTCTGCTCAATTGCACTGTTATCGGAAAACAAGTTTTAGTGTAAATTCACAAGGTAAATCATTGGATCTGAGTGAGATGATTGGAAAAACTGCTTTGGATGCGGTTACGCAAGCACCTGGAGATATCATTATAACAACAAAACCTAAAATATTGTTCTGTGATTTGAAATTGAAAGTCAACGAATCTAAGATTTGTATGATAGCACTTTTCGTTGTAATTGTTACATTGCTGAAATATTTTCTCTTTTGTAGATTTTTTCAATGAATTTGTTCCACGCAACGGACCACCTACTTATAAAGGTCACGACATTAAGTATTTTTATAGGCTAACAATTGCCACACAGAGGGTTAAATCTAAGGTGCAAACTTTAGCCGTGCCAATAAGAGTGCTTCCTATACCTCCTATTGCCAGGCCCGACGAACTTCCTATTACTGAAGAAACAAATGACGAATTAGCTCCTACCAATCCGTTCTTAGAGAAAAGAGAAGTGTCAGAACTACAGACATCTTGGCATCATCTAAAGGTAGGTTGTAAACATGTACAACGGCAGCTATTAAAGACTAGTACTTATTATGTTCCAGAATGTTATAGCACGGAGAGCCCCAAAGTTTTACAGAATTTCTAATAAACGCGGTTTCGTGGGGCGGTTTTGTTTGTTTAAGCCTGCTTATAAATTGGGCGAGGATATAGTGGGCAGCTTAGACTTTGCGAACTGTAACGTTCGTTGTGTACAATTCTCAGTAAAACTACAAATTCAAGAGATTTGCCTTCCGTGCAATAATACGAAAAATTCAAATAGCGACTGGAACGACTCTTTCTATTTAAATTCACTTGATGCTGCTAGTGTCGCCAGCGAAGTTGCAGCCAACAATCTACATAAATCTTCCACTTCAGGCAATAATAACAATAATAAGGAAGATTTGTGTGGAGAACAAGTTGGTGAAGTTACAACGCAAGTTACGAGCCATCAAGTTTGCTATGCAATGCTGCAAACGCAAGTTGTAGTTCCAATTCCACTTCATGTTACACCATCTTTTCGCACAGACCTTGTAGATGTTAGATGGCGCCTGCATTTTGAATTTGTCACCAGTACTATGATGAATTTTGGTAAAGAAAATCCTGTTGAAGGCGAACTCCAATCACCTCCCAAAATCCCTGTTGAAACTATGATGTGGAATTTACCGATTTCAATATACTCAGCAAATCCGCTGCAAATATATTCTCCTTCACAAGCGCATAGCTTGTTAATCAAATAACAATAAAATTAAATACTTGTTTGAAACTTTAATCTCGTTTCAATCAGTAGTACGTAATAAATATATACAAATTAATGAGAATATATCTAACGACCGACTTTTCCTAACTTAGTATCTGTTTTAGGATTAGCAGTCATGTTCTGGATTGCTACTATAGTTTCATTGATTCGAGTTTGAAGTTCCCGTAAACTTTGAATTTGTAGCAACCGTAGAATACGCACAGGGTAATCTAAAGCTGAATCATTAGAAACTTTATCGTTGCCTCTTTCGAATGGGTAAGGCGTGCCCACAATTGGTTGCCGGTCTTTCGCGCTTGACGACAAGCGTTCTTTGACAATGCATGCAATGGCCTCCAGTTGAATCAAATGATTGGGATGATGTGGCACCTTAAGTTTTTGAGCTAAAGAACGTACACCCGCAATAAAATCCTTATGATTAACTTCAATTATAAAAAAAAAATGGTTTACATATAGAAGCATGAAATTGATATTTCCTTCAAAGATACTCACAATCCATATTATCGAAAAAATTCTCGTTTTTAATACTTGGTGCTCTTGATTTAGTTTGCTGTTGTCCAAACTGTTGAGAATTAATATCCTTAAAATTATCAGGGGCATCAAGAAATTCTAGTCGTATAGCGTAGCTGAGCATCCAGGTTAGTTCCTCTAAAGGGCTCTCTAGTTTCGGCATACCTAAATCGTTCTTGTATTGTATATAAGCGCCTTCCCACACTGTCAGGTTATCTACTTTGCGAAGATTTCCGCGTTCTTCTATCTTATATGATCTAATTTTTTGATCTTCCAGCCAAAGAATGGTACTAGCGAATACTTTTCTATCTATAAAAAACATTCCTAATGTAGAAAAGGGTAGTATAATATTATTCTTAGTTTACCGTTGTAGTCCAATTTATCAGGGGATGGATGTTCCAGTGCTTCTAATTTTAACTTTAACATGCTTAGCAGCTTTGTTCGTACTTGCAATAATAAAAATTTTTTTGATTTGACAAATGACAATAATAAACACCGGTTAATAAAAATTACCAATCCTCAGAATACTATTTATGGAAATTAACCCTACGAAGTTAACAACGTTCACTCAACTTCACCAAACAAGAATTTTGATTTTGTCTAATCGTTGTTAAAATGCTACTCTTACCAAAAAATATTACGAAAAATTGCTAATTAGCTGAAGTTCCAAACGAAAAAAACCTTTAGAGAGCACGTAGAAATACATTCAATTTATTAAGCAATATTATTTTGTATGTGTAAGATGTGATATTTTGTTTCATATCTCAAACGTACCTATAATAGAAAACTTTTCTTTGACGTGCCTATAAAAGATATTTCTGTCAAACGTTTTTACAAATAAGCAAATAAAATGAAATGATGTGGAAACAAGGCACATAGTCGTGAAAAATATTATCAAATTGGTGGCCTTACTCGGTACAAGTAAACGTCAATTGTTACACATAGCTCTACAATATATGACGGAACTTTTCGCTTGTAACATTCACGCTTAAAAATTATCATGGCAGCGCCGCAATTCCTAGCTAAAAGTGTATTTTCAAGTTGGATAACATTTTAGTCCTTAAAAACTCTTAAAAACACAATAAACCGAAAGGTCGTTTCATTGGCCTAGCCCTACACAGCGACGTATAAATCTGGAAAGTAATTAGTTATGAAGACTTCGCGCTCACTCCCCAGGTGATTATGTATGATATAACCACCTACTATTTTTCATTAAAGCGACGACGAGAACAAAATAGTTATCGTTTTGTGTTAGTACTGTTGTTCAAAGTTGCGTTTGTAAGGAAAACTTCTGCAAAAGGGAAGCGAAACAAAATTGTATTTCATGCAAACAGTAACAAAACAAAAAGTTCGAACTTATAAAAAGTACAACTGGCTACCATGCTACCTTTGACTTTTAATAAAATGAGACTACGATTATGAAAACTCATGTCAATTGGAGTATCATCGTCCACAGGCTTAAAACATTTTTTTTTTGGCAATCAAAAGGCAATATTTTAGATATTACTGATAAATAATCAGGTAATGTCTGTCTTATATTTAAATTTAATGATTTCTGTGCCCATGTCTCGGTGAACGCCTCCCAATTAAGAAGTGTAGACGATTTTGTTTTTCAGCATTTTGAAATAAATATGTATGTACCCATTAAATATAAAAAATTCATAGGTGAACTCGCCATCGTCTGCTATTACTGCCTCTAAGCTTGTCAATTGGAGAATTTTTTTTCCGTTGGTAGCCAATGGCACCCCGTCGTTTGGTTCTCCTCCGGTTTTTTGCAGGGACAATGTGTTGACACTCAATTTTTTTTCTGGCCATGTATTTATATTTCGTCTAAACCAAAAAACAAGTTAAAAACAATATAAATGTAAATAAAATGCTAATATAATGTTTGTTAACTTACCTTAGAAACTTTGTTAGTGGTAGTTCTGAACCATACCAAAGCCTCCATATGCTCTTTTGAAGTTATCGCATATTAGCATTGCCGATTACTGAAATGAATTTATAAAAATACTAAAAATTACATATTGTTCTTTTGGTGAATACTACTTTCTAGCGAATTTCCATAGAATTTTTCTGGGACATCAACTAATCAAAAATTCGACAAGGTTATCCAAATATATTTAAATCTGCACTTCATTGCTTTCCATTTTATGGTTTTATTCCGCGATAAGGAGTTCAGATGAGCAAAAGCAACTTTCATTTTATTACCTAAAGATGTAGGCTATATTTAACTTTTTTTTTGCGTTGTTTAATAGATATCATTCACTCATTTTATTACTAAAAATTTTATTCTTCATGTACTTTTTTGTTTTGGCTTATTTAATAGGTATGGGGTACGTCTTAAGTAAGCTAATAATTTTGTGTTTATTTCTGAATGATATTGTCGTTGCCTATATAACGTTGGTCGCTTATAAACGAGCACCTATTTTTTTCTTTTTCTCAATATAACAATATAAGGGCGCATTATGTAAAACATAATGCAAAGAAAAGAGATTTTTAATCCGATGTTTGTTAATCCTAAGGTAATTATTGTTATTATTATAAATTTAGCTAGAGAATAAATTCTTAAAGCACTAGCATCTAAGGCTTTCGGCTTTATTAAAAACTCTACCGAACTTGAGATTTGAACCCACGACCCTTGAGGTGATAGTCGAGACTCTTGCCTACTCGGCCAATCAGGCGGATAATCGTAAAGTAAAGTTAGAACTAATGCCTATAAACTGAGTCTTACAGAAAGATAAAGAGCTTTAAATTCATTACATCCCCAGCGTAGAAATGATCGCCCAGTAAAGATTGTCTACATCAATATCAAAAAAAATCTTTTGGATGATTTATATAATAAATAATAATAAAGCCAACCATGTTAATCAGTTGACATTTTTAGTTGAATAACAAATAAGAATGTATGTTTGTTGGTTTCCTTCGTACGTAGATTGTTGATGTCAACTATCCTTAACTGATGTGATGAACACTGCGTGACAAGCGGAATGTAACCGTAAGACGGGTGGGTTAAGGCGAATACATCTGCTTTAAGATTTGCACGAGCATAACATTTATCCAGACCGTCTTGCGCAGCACGAGTTGTGTACTTTTACCGAGGATCCGTTGTTCCTTTAACAGAACATGACGGGTCTAAAGAGGCAAACTCGACAATATCTGTAATCCTGATTACCTCACGTACCGTTCTCAGAGACAAATGGAATTACGTGAGTGTGTCTTCGAACCGTGTACCCCAGATACCGGCCGACCTCTGGGGGGAAAGAAAACGACGATTCGAGATACAAGGCGTCTGTCTCGATTGACTACTTTTCCTAATCATTCAGATGTAACTATGAAGAATGAAAAGGCCATGTCCGAAGACAGCTGAGATAGCAGATA